GAGGATACTCTCGATCCACAGCAGTCTGTAGACCACGTTATAAGTGAAGGGCGCCTTCGCTCAGTACCCATACGGTTTGTGACCAAACATGTACACTTACTATCGGTAGGTGTACATGTTTGGTGACAACGTTCGGTAGGCTACCGAACGTCCGTCACAAAGATCCATATGTACAATGTCTGTGTGTGTGTGTATACGTCCGTCACAAGTGCGTACGACAAACAAAGCCCCATACACAGACATTTTTTTTCGTATGACCCTAGACTTACAGTCAAGAGAATGAATATTATATTATTTATAATAGCTACATCAGACACACATTTTCCATTTGATGATCAACAGTACAGACAAATAAATGAATAACAACAATGAATAAATAATTGTCTATATTTTCTTGACGTGACTGTAATACGTACTAATTCGAAATTTGAAACCACTGTTTATAGGAAAAGACGTTTACTGTACTATTGACAGCATGGGCATCGTATGTACCATACAATTAAAAGAAAAGCTGTGTTAGTAGCATGATTAATCGTGCCATACGCATATGCTCTGCCTATGAACTGTTGACTACGGAATTCGAGGAGATTAGACGTATAACAAAAGTCAACAAATATCCACGCACGTTCGTTGATACACTAACAGGAATTCTTTTTACTAAAGCGTTATTCTCAAATTTGAACAAATCTGACTTGACCGATCATACTAACAGGCAGCCACCTAAAAAACGACTAGTAGTATTCATGAAGACGTTTGATTTGATCTGTTTTCTTCGCTGTAATATCAGAACAGTATCTGATGGTTCCACTTGGAACATTGACTGAAGTACAACCTGATACTTTTGTCACTGATGGAAGTCCGACAATACTCTCGTCAGCTGATCAAGGTTAGAGAGACTTTGGTCAATTGACAAGAGTTAGACAAGATTTTGGTCACCGACGAAAGTATAGGTGACGAACGTTCTAGTTGACTTTTTTCGGGTAACTTAATAAATTGGGACAGAATTAAAATTTTGTTTAGGGATAGTAATCTATACCGATTATTAATAAAAGAATCTCTAGCAATTTTAAGTCATAGGCCTACGCTAAACAATATAGTACGTTCTATATCCTTTTTCATTTTTCCAAAATTTCAAGAGTTCTAGTCAAAGATTCAGGCGGATAGAGTATTCATTTAGCGTTTTATTTCTTATGTCTTCCTTCTTTTTCCATCATCCTTTGTTTGAAAGTTTCAGCAAGTACAACGCTTTTATTAACAATGTATATGAATGTAATCTGTCTGATTTTATTTTCTCTATTTTCTGTCTGCCTAGCTGTATCTCTCCCTCATTTTACTTCTATTTTCCTCTACTTAGCTGTTTTGCAACATTGTTTAGTAGATACATAAGTGCATGTGTGAGAATTCAATTCATATCCAGTTTTAATCTTATGTTAATATCACTGTTGCCACAAATAATGACAAATATATTGTCGAAACATCGAACTACATAAATAGCTTTTTATTAATAAAATGCGATTTAAATTAGCTGCTGTATTAATATCTAAAATACTGAGCCCCTAAATGCTAAAAATGGTTTATTGTGTTTCTTTCATGCTATATTACATTTATTTGATAACAGTGTTTTTATTGTAGAATTCGAAAAGTGACATGTTAGGTGTGTTTTTAGCATGCTATAGTGCTTGAAAATGTGTGGAGGGAATATTCTCTATTCGACTAGGCCGGATCAGAATTGAAAGATTCAATAGCAAAATCTTGGTTGAAATTCCAATCCGGTCTGAATTACAATCTGGCTCTGCCCTATATATATATAGAGAGATATATGTATCATTCTTAATGCTGCATTATTGATATATAGGGGTACAGGTATGATTTCATGAATTAGCGAAGTAAAACAGGGGTAGAAATCTAAATTTATTTATTTCGAAGGTTAAAAGAAAGTTCTTGTAAAACTTTGTTCTGCAGCAAAAGCAAAGTTTTCACGCCACCTTACAATTTCAAATGAAGATAGTAGTTATGTATACGCATCTAGGATGTCAAAAGCGAACGAAAAATATATCGTAACAAAAAAGACAAATTTGTTTAAAGGTAACGTGCAGTTATCAAAAGACTTTAGAACATCAACCACACTGCTGTATACAACCTTGATAAAGAGAAGCAGAAAAATTAAATTAATACTACAGTCGTTTTAAGACAGTCAAGAACAGGTCTGCAGAAGGAACTTTTTGCACTTGGAGCGTACTGCTATACCTGGAAGCTGCCGCCCAATGTAGATAGATCGTCAGTTCAATTCTACGTGCTCCTCCACACTTTTCAGCCCTTAGAATATGTTTTGTTAAAAAAGTGATTTTTCAATTTTCGTATTTACGCGAGTACAATCAACCAATCTCTGGAGTAAAGAAAGGGGAATAAAAGGTTTTTCCTCCATACGAGTCAATAAAGATTGTCGAGCTAATCAAGAATATGTGTGAATCTTGGGCTATTCTTCTTAACACAACCCAAAGGCAGTATTTCCAAGATGATATAAAATTTCTCAAAAAAATTCAAAGTACACTTCGGTGCAGTCAATTCCGATGTTTATTTTTATAGAAAATGCATTTTACGTATCGATAGTTTTAACTTACGGCAAAAGTATTTCTTTTTAAAGTGCTACTATGATCCAAAGCATATGACTGTTCTACCTCGTCATAGTAATGACTGATTTAAATTACAGCCACAGCAATATTTTGTACCTGCAGTCGAATAACACGATTTAACTTGTCTAGTGTAATTTTATTTCCGCAGTATGGCTCAAACAAAACAACCGAACATGTCGGATATTCTTGATGAACCAATTCACAAATTACTTGTGCCAATCGAAGGTTATCAGGATCAACCGCTAGTATCACTCGAAGAAGCTATTAAGCCCATTGCTCATTTGTTCGATGATCTTGACCTTTGTACACAATGGAACTTGACGGTAACGAAAGTTTTTATCGTCTTTTAAATGCTACATTACGGTCGAAAAATCGTCAAATCTTAAAGCCGTGGTTTAGCTACCTAAAATTATTTCTGACTGCTATGTACAAATTGCCATCTAAATCACAAACAATTTATCGTGGAAGGAAAAATATTGATTAAGTGATAAATATCTAAAAGGTAATCAGTTTGCTTGGTGGTGTGTCAGTTCATGTACAAGAACTGTCGACATTTTACAATCGGAACAATTTCTCGGGCAAAATGGTAAACGTACAATGTGCAGTATTGAATGTTCAAATGGAAAATCGATTACATCACATTCGTATTCCAGTGACAAAGTAGAAGAAGTTATTCTCATACCCGGTTCCTATTTTCAAGTTTGTGGTCAACTTTCTGTTCACTGCAACCTCCTGTTCATTGGTAAATTATCCAGTAAGTAAAATTTTACTAACATCTATGAAGTCTAGTCCTATCTGCAAAACATAGTAGTTATAACCGAATAGAAACTGTATCTCATATTTACATATAAAATGATTTTCTTCTAGATTTTAATGTATTATTGAGTGACCTATTAAAACTGTTACTAATATGCTGATTATTGGAGAAACAGGCACAGGTATGTAACAAAATAAGAGTAAAGAACGATGTAAGTGTGACATTCAGTTTAGGAAAAAGTACATTTATCAACTATCTTGCAAATTATTTCCATAATGGCATGGTGAAAAACCTCAAAATTGCTATACCAACATGCTTTCATCTCACACTTTACGAAAGTTTTCCCCATCGAGAAAACGACGTGAAAGATAGCTAATCCAGTAAAATTGTTGACTGCCAACAGTATCGATTTGATCTGTCGGTTGACAATAAAGAAGTAGGCGTTTGTTTTATTGATATGTCGGGTCTTAGCGATACAGGCGGTATGGCTCAAGACATTGAAAATGTGAACAAAATCTTTGAATTTGTTGGACATCTGAGTGACTTGTCAGCTATTCTCCTCGTATTAAACGGTGCGAATTCCTGAATGACGGTAAACGTCAAAAATGTTATTGAAAAATTTCGTGATTGTATACCAGATGTAATTGGTAATAATTTCATCACGGTTCTAACAAATTGTCATCAATATTCGGCTAATTTCAATGCTAAAGCGATATGTATGTCCGACACGTCGACAGTATTTTGCATGCAAAACTCAGCATTTTCAAACATTTACAAGACACGAACGGTAACAGTTCCTGTAGCAGTTAGTGTCCCATACTATAATACATCGTGCACCTACTGTAATAGTGTGTGTCATGAACATTGTTCGTTAAAAGAGACACGCAAGGTAGGAGAACAAGTTTTCAAGTATTGTTTGGCAATGGGCCCAGATGGTAGATGCACATGATGCTCTAATCGATGCGAATATCGGTGTCATTATCAGGATCGGAAAACAATTGTAATGGGACAAAGAACCATTTCTGACGTCGTGACGGACATGCAAGAGAAATTTAAGTCCGCTAAAGCAGGTAAAGAGAAAATGGGCATAAAATGTGAAACAATACAAGAGACAAAAGAGTTTATTGATCTCACATTACAGAAGCAGAATGAACAAATTGAACAAAGCTGTTATCGCATTAAAGAATCATGCATCGGTTTTAATGTTACCGAAGGGCTATTTTTACTTATCTGTTTGCAAGATTGCGAGTTGTTGACGTCACAGGATCCCAAACTTAAGGCATACAATTTTATTCAAAAGCGTCAAAGATTATGCAAAAAATTGGAAGAACAGTCGCCACTGGCAGATAACGACAAGAGAAATGAGCAAACGGGACCATCAGTGGTAAAGGGAAGTATAAGTAATAACGCGGAGCCAAAAACTAAAATAAGTATAATCAAATCATCTTTTGTTAGTTCCGATCAGCCGGAATGCGTTTTTAGTCCGAGTGACACTGGTAGTTCACTCACATTGAAAGAGGAAAAATATGCTATATTATCTAATTCAAGTATGAATACACACAACGATAAGAAGGAGAAGTATAAGCAGACATCCCTGGAGGAGGACACTGATGACGAAAGAAATGGAGACAGAGGATTCAAAAAAATTTGGTGAAGTACCGAATGAAAAGTTGGTTAGTTTACACAAGAAAAATGTAAAAAGTGGAACGAATAGTAATGATGAGTGTAATGAAATTCGAAAAGAATTGAATCGTCGCTGTCGAGAAAAATCAGTAGGTTATTTGTCGAGTTATGATGTGCCGACGTTGTGTGAATATTATGCGACATATCGTACTAAGAATGTTGAGGAGTTATACAAAAATCAGTCGACGTTGCAGCGTAAAATTCACGATTTGATTGATGATGATCCGCTCAATATCTCAAAAATCTCGAATGATATGCTGCTGCAACTATCAGCTGTTAGTCTCGTCATACAAAAACTTAGCATATCAAAAAATAAATAAAAACTGATAGAGAACTTGGTATCTTGTGTTTACATTCCAGATGGTTTTTAATTGCTATTGTCCTCCTCACACGTCACTTTTGGTCTCTGTCTTTATAATGAACCACAGAAACATATCTCCTACATTCAAATGATGTGTAACACTCAACTAGAGAAGTGGATGCTTTGTTAGCAATAATATTCTGGATTTGTTCCACGAATTATTTTCTTTAATACTATTTCTTTACTCTTTTATTGTAATCCTATTTTCAGTTTCTTTTTATTTATTTAAAATGATACTTGCATGTATCTGATTCAGTAAACTTTGCAATCATCAAGGCTGAAATCTGCAATTGAAATTAAGATAAATTTGAAATCCTAGTGATTTGACTTGCTTCTTTTTCAGATCAAACTGTTTATTTTGACAAAATCAAATTGGCCAGAAATAAATAGAATAAGAGCACTCAACAACTTCACACGTAAGTTGATTTCATAGTATTTCTCATATCCTCTGCTAATAATTAGAATTCGACTTATTCCCAGGGATTGATGGCGAAAGAATTTGTAAAACAAACTGTTCAGTCTGCAAAGAACCTTTTTAAGCCTTCCTCACACAATGATAATAACCAGCAACAAAATATGGTCAAATTTAATGATGCTTCGATATTGAAAGCACTTGTTATTGGTCAGACTGGATCTGAAGCTGAAAAAAATTTAGGTAAAGATACTTGTTGATGTCGGCTAACAATCAAGGCTTCTAAAACTGAATATTGAGAAAGAAAGTACAGTTGCTGGATGTTTCCATCCAGGTTCTCCCATTTATATACGGCTTCAAGCCGGTAACTTTTGACTGTGTCCATCTTGTAAATGTGGTTTTTCGAAAAACCGTGGTAGCTAATTTGTTATTTCCGGGCATTATAAACACGTCTAGAAATGGTAATTTATCATTTTGTTCTTCCTCGAATGTAAAACTAATACAATGATGCAAAGAAGACAAAGTTGTGCATATATCTGCAGCCACAACTGATTTCTTGAGAAAAAGAAATGTATCGTTCACATATCTGACGTAAAAGATGACACCCAAAGTGTTTAACAAACCAAAATTCGACTCATCGACTAAATGTTTACTTAAACGATAGTTAAATGTATTAAGGGGGGTCCCCCCATTTAGATTTTTCTCTAGCGTTCCCAGTTTGTAGAGGATACTTCGAAGTATATGTCCTGAAGTTTTCTCAGCTTACTTACATTATTTAACTGAGAAAATAATTAATTACTTAAAAAAATGTTGTTAAATTTTTGAGCAGGGGGTTATTATTATA